ACAAATAGCAGTGAATCGAGGTGAATCGAAAGAGATCGTCTTTTCGTTTCGAAACGAAATCTACTCGGATAGTTGGGTGGCGAACGACGATTCGCTTCCTTTCGCTTCGTGGCACGGGGTGTATACGCCTATGGTGGACCACGCTCTCCTAAAATCGATTCAGAGAGACACAGACAGGGCATAGACCTTCGTGCGTAGAGTCGAATCGACGTAACTTTCCCAAATATCCTGCATTTCCGCGTGTCGCCTTCCTTTCTTGTCTTTGTTATTTGCATTCTCAACGTTTAATTTAATAAACGTTCGTTCGATGGCAAACTTTTACAAACGTTATTTAACAACGGTTCGATAAAACGGATAAAACGGAATTCACAAGACGAGTCGAGGCAAATTTGTTTATTTTTCATTGGGTGTTTGTAGATTCTTCTCTTCCCCGAGATTTCGAACTAATAAGGATAAAAGAAAATCTACAAAAGCGATAAGTATCTAGGTATATCTACAGGTATAGGAAAGAACGCATCGGTTAAGATCCGTTTCCTTTCGTTGAAATGTTGCTGATTCCCTGCCTTGGTTATTGACAAATAAATTATTTTTCAATACTTAATACGTGTGCGTTTCCAAGTTGAGTAGAAAAGAAAGTTCTACGAAAAATTATTTACACGTATATTTGTGATGTATTTCCATTAGAATGTTACATAAATTGAGATACCACTTTTTCTCACTGAAAACCAAGTCGAAACGTTTCTGCATATCTAATCGTTTCCGTTGGAACAAAATTTACGAGCATAAATTCCCGTGTCGCTATGTTGTGTAACCATTTGTGAATTATAAAAATACGGATGAAAAAAAGGAGAGTGATATAATACGTGGCTCGAATAAATTCTTTTTTTTGAAAAGATCGATAAAAAAATTCGTTCATTTATAATAAAAGCGTTGTGAAAGCGTGAAAATTCAAATTCGAAAATCGTTCAAGCTAAATAATATTTTTTAAACATCGTCGTCTCTCAAGAATGAATATTTCTATTAATATTTTCGGTCGGAGGATGATTTATTATAGAAATTATTACTGAGAAAATACCGATTGAAAAAGTTTCATTTTTATCCTACGTTATTCATTCTTCGCGATGAATCGTGGAGCACGCCATCATTTTCTTTTCTTCCTTATCCGCATGTTTTCCTTCTTTTAAATTGTTCGTGCTGAAAAAAAGAAAGGAAGAAAGGAAATGGACGATCGGTTAGAGCACGTTCTTATTTCCACTCGATTACCCGCGGCCAACTTCACCGTTGTAATTCACTCCCTGTTGTAGTAAATAATGCACAGCGACACCTGGTACACCCTCTACATCACGCTACGTATGCACGGAAGCGTAATATATGCATACACGCAGAATGATGGTGTGCGCATTAGCAAAATACTGCTCGATGTTCCACGTCGTTCCATCACGTATCCCTATACGGGGACCGTGCACTCGCCGCCATATTTTATCACTCGTGGACCCGTTTCATCGCGTCGCGACGTTATGGACGGATCTTTTCGAAAGGAAGAAATCGAATTTCCACGCGCTCTTCTCCATGATTATTCTGACATCCAGCGATTAATCCCCATTGTAACAACATCGCGAGTGTTTGTAAGTTACAAAATCATCGGGTGAATTTTTTTTCGCGTTCTATTTATCATGAGAATAGCGAGGAAAACGTAGGATTCATGGATTCACGATAAGAAGGGAACAGTTGGGAAAATTAATCCTCCTCCTTATTCTCGATATTCCATCGTTGCTAATTCGATCATAGGGGAATCGGGGAGGCCGGTTATCATCTGCCGCTATTTCGACCGGAGTTGGATTAACCGCGTTTCCGGAAACGTTCGATCGGCCGTGCGGTATCGGAGCAATTGGTGCAATAACGTCGCGTCGCACCATCGCGTCGCCAACAGATAATATTGCTCGCGATAACAACCTTCCTCGCCGTTCCACGCTTTCGTTCCATTGTTGGTTCGCGTTACGATATGCGTGCAATTTATCGTAACGCGGCTTTTTTTCGCTTCGTTCCGCATTTTCAATCAATTCGATCCCGTGGAATTTAAAAGTTTGCTCAGATTTGCGGTCGAGTCTATTTATTTTTCCTAACGTTTTCAAACTCGTCGTACCTTGAATTATTAAGCTGTGTGTTGAACGTGTACGAATAAGTTACGCAACTTCTTTTTTCTTTTTTAAATTTCAATTTTGTTCATAGTTGCTTGGGAAAACTTATGTATATACAGGCGCAAAGAGGAATATTTTTGTTCGATACGTGTAGCAAATATTCTGCCTTTTGCTGGATACATCGATAACTCGCGACCTCGGTCATCAGTTAAAACATACCTAAGTGGTTATTCAGCAATCTTCTTTTCGAACCGAATCAAACATCCGTTGAAATAACATCTGATATCATCGAGCATAAACAATTTTTCAATAAACTTTAACTTAAGCGCGTCAACTATTTATCTGGACACGTTTTCTTATTCAAAATCGTAGTGAAAATGAAGCAAAAGGATCGTCGAGACTCGTTGCTGCCTGTCACCTTTCCACTCGCTTTTTGACCGATCGAATCATCTCGCTAAGAAAGAAAACGCAATGTGAACGTGACGGTCATGATCGAACGGAAGAAAAGAATAGTTGAGCGACCACGTTCCACCATCGTGGAACAATCGTTGCGCAACAATCGTACAATGTATATACGACGTGGTCGTCCAATGTAAACTCGAATTGTAAAAACAAACTATCATTTTCGCTTCTCCAACGCGCTCTCTAAGTTTACGCGTGTTTGCGCAGTGATATGTTGACCAGGTTGCCGCGTGCCTATGGAAGCCTTTATGGAACCGGCAGACGAGTCGATTGAATTATAGTAACAGAGTTATCCCAGAGTCACTTGGCGCGGTCTAAGGGCTAAACGCTCGCTCGCGTCTCAACGGGATGTAATAATTGATTTTCAGCGCACATATTTGGGAAAAGGCGCGAGCATCGCGAACGAAACGAGACGAAAGTTTCACTTTGACTATTCCTCCATTTTCCTTCCGCTTGGAAGATCGCAAGAAAGCTAGGCTTACGGGAGTATCCGCGAATATAAGAAAAATATCGATATCGTATAGGAGACGAGCGGTGGGTGAGTTGGGTTGACGATGGATTCGAGCGATCATTGCTGGTTAATTCGGATTGTGTTGAACAAAAGGTTTAGCCATTTTGACGATAGTCGTTTGCATTAAGTGGCTTTATCCGACGCACGTACCCCAATCTACATTTGACTTTGTAATTTCATTTATGTCGAATCCGCCCGCAAACATTTGCGTATTCGCATCTCTCTCCCAGCAAACTTTCATCGATCGTTTTCAACCGAGATTTTCTTCGAAATTTCAATTTTCCTTTTCTTTCTTCCATCCAGTTTCATCATCAGTTTAGATATATCTCGTCTGAATGCTCTCGTACATCTTTGCGAACGATAATCACTTTGATTACGGAAATTAAAATGATATTTAATGGATAAAGAAAAAAGAAGAAGAAAGGAAGATAAAAGAAGAGGGATCGTGCAATCGTTTATTTATACGAGGAAGGAATTGAAGAATCGGATAATAGAGACCTTGAGGTTTACTTAGACGCTCGTATGCGTAGCACGCGAGTCACCGATCTAAGAAAATTTCAAACGGAAGAGTCGAGAAAAATATAATGTTAATTAGCGGATACGTTTCCGCTTATTTTCACGATTTAATCTCACTTTGTTGCGCGTCTTAATTGTTTGAAAAAATAAAATAAAATAAAAGAATTGTTCGCAGACAAGATGTGTCATCATCGTCTGCCATTGATACCAATCGTTCGAATCGTTATTTAGATTCTTCGAAAGTGTGTAACGCGTGAACGTGTCATTTTCCGTCTGTCTAATAATGATAAATAATTGCCTCTTCGAGGTAGTTAAATTAATAATTATTAATTTTCAAAATATATAAATAAATGTTAAAAGGTATAAAAGTTGGTACGGATATAAAGTTGGTCTCGCTTGCTTTTCGTTTTATTTCGTTTTATTTCTACCAACTAATTTAAATACGTCATACAATTTCGATCGAATTAAGAGAATAATCGAATCATCGAGTTATTTAATTTTCATTTAATTCTTGTAATATTTTAGAACGAAGAAAGTCTATTTGTTCTATAACGCAATCGGAATATTTTCGGGCAACCATGCATTCGTCGTCGTCTGCAGCTAATGAACGGAAAAGAAAACGCAAGGTGTAAAATATGCGTTGTGTACGTATAAATTAAGAACGTAACTTTGATCGGATCGACTTGTACCTTGGTTAACACACTGCTCGATAATTTCGTGTACATCCCCTGTAAAGTCATCGGGTGTCAGTTCTTTCACTCGAGACTCAAGTTTTTCCACGTTCAGAGTATTACCGTTCATCTGAAACGAACATAACATTTTTTTCTCAAAGAAGATAATTATCCGAGGAAGATAATACGATTTGTCAATTTCTCAGAATCGTTTTAAATTAAAATTCGTGATCTTTTTATGCTTTACTCGAGATTCCTCGCACGAACGAAGATGTTTCTCTCAAAATATTTTATGTACTCAAAAGTAAGAATTAAGAAGAACGAGACGAATAACATACCATATCAAGCTTTTGGAAGATACAGGCTTCGAAACATCCAAGCTTCTTTATTTCTTCCTCGCCCTTACCTTCGTATATGCTTTTCAGATCGGCTAATGGAGTAATTTTAATTATATACATTTATCAACGATCGAATTCGTTTATCTCATTTTCTTTTTCCATCAAAAGATTTACATATTCGAATGCATTTTTCTAGTTTTAAACTAAAGGAAAGCAAGTGTGTTTAATCGCGTGTAAGATTAGCAAATAAACTAGTTTCTACTTACAAAGACTGAAGCCTGCTTTTTCCGAACATTGATCTATCATGTCTGCGCGAACCAGCTACAGTAGAATTAAAATAAATCAAAAAAAAAATTAATATTTCGAGTTATTTGAATTATTAATATTAATAATTCAAAAAAAAAAAGAAAAGAAAAACAAGAAATATGCTTTTCTCTATTCGGCAATTAGACAAATTTAATAAATAATTTTTAAAGTCGATTTTCTTCGAAAAGAAAAATTTGAAATGGAAAATTTTATTTTACATTTTCAATTTCCGTAAACAAAATTTAACGTGTACTTAAGAAGATGACATTCGATATTTGAAAAATCGTTAACCACTGAATCATCGATCCAGAGCAAAAACTAACCGCACAATATATTATGCAGAGAAGAAAGACGACGGTGGTTTTCATATTTGCGTTTTTTTTCCCCCCCTTTTTCCTTCAAATATTATCCAAAGCGTTTGCACAAAAATAGTTGCGTTAGGCGATTAAAAAGGAAGTTGGCACATGCGAGCAACTTCTTCGACTAACTAGACAGCGTTTCGATCTACTATTTATACTCTATTAAGTGTATAAGGTGTAGAAAATTGATGTCTTAGATAATGGATTTACGTAATTTTATCTCTGGGAAATATGGTTTATTAAAGCATCATCGAGGTATCATCGTCACATGGATAATAATGGACGCAAGCTTGAAATAATTATTATAGAAAGGACATCATCGTTCGCAGAATTTTTATGTATGATAAGATCGTAATAGTAGCGTAGAAAAAAAAAGAAAAAAATAATGACAGAATCGATCATCATATTTAGATATTCGTTACTTTATTAAAAGTTTTTATACAATTAATTTAATATTTAAACTTGTAATAGTTATTATAAAGGAGAGTTGAGCTCTTCTTCTTCGCTCGTTGAGTTCGAGATTGAGTTTGAGTCGTTAAACGAGAATATAAATTGTTTGATGTAGAATTTCACGTAATCGACAAGGCAAGTGGTGAATTTTTGAGCGGCCCAGCACTTATCCTGGCTCTCAGCTGAAAAGAAGAAAGATGTAATTTCACATGCTATCGTGTAAATTGTACATTGCACTTATGCATTAATACATACCATTATTGATACATTGGCGTATAACATTTCGAATATTCTCCTTTTGATTCTCCCTTATTTCGTTTAAATATACATCGAATTTCTCTATATCGAAGATGTTGCCGTTCATCTGAAATCAAATGTTCGTCGATCGAAATTTTTGATCGAAGATTTTCGAGATTTGATGTATTTCAACTATGTTGTTTATAAATTGGGATTATGTTAATAATTCTTTCGCACGTACCAGAGCCAACTTATGCAAAAGGCAGGCCTCGATGCACCCTCGCTTTCTTATCGTTCTTTCACTTTTATCCTCGATTAAGGAATTAACATCATCTAAAAAAATTAATCTATGCCAAATTTTTCATTCTCGTTTATATTCGCGTAACATTCGTTTCGAGTTCATCCGATCGTTGTTTCTTTGAATCAAATTATCAATCGTTTCGAATCGTTTTGATTCCTTTCGATATCCAGTTTAAACAGTTGAAACGGGAAGCACAGTTTGTTGAATTTTCACTTACCGAAGGTGAGATTCTCTTGTTCCAAGCACAGAGTTATATCGTCGGTATCGTCGCAGCGAACCATCTGCTTTGTGAAATTACGAAAAATGAATTTTTTTTTTTTTTTTTTCATAAATTTACCAAAGATTACATTTTCTCGTCTGGGTGAATAATGAATATAGCGATTGTTTCGTTTCTCGAAAAAAAAAAAAAAATGCACTTTCACTGCGAGCACAAAAGATTCAGAATGCAATATTCAATTTAACGAATGGTAATAAAAAGAGGATAAAGATTTACCATATAAGAGGCGATGCATAGCGTGAGAAATAAGATGGTCTTCATTTTTTTCGGATCTTTAGGACACTGTCTTGTCCCTTGAACAAACTTGGGGGAAATGCGAACAATTTCCTCGACTAGTTGCATGATATTTCCAACTGCTATTTATACTCAATAAATGCATACTACATGTAAATTAAATAAGCTTATTAATCATTCATAGATAAGGAATTTATGTAATTCAATTTCTTACAATAACAAACGTTTATAAATAAAATATGATTAAATGATATTTTCTGACGGATTGCATTTATGCGCAACGTGTGATCTGAAAACCGAGATACTGTTCAAACAATTCGAAATATAATAGTTTTTGCGTTTTATCGATTGTCACGACCAAACATGTGGTAGAAAAAAAATATACATATATAAATTGAAATCAAGGATAATCAAGGTTATCAGCTTTTCGATTTATCGATTTTTTTTATCACATCTTTGTATTTTTCTTTTCTTAAACGAAAATATGATTATTTGTCTCGATTGACTCTTCTGTGACTTTACGATATTTACAATATTGTCTAACATTCGATTTGATCTATATCGAACGATGCAGAAAGGATTTGAGAACAAATATGAAATGGAAACTATTAATAATTTACCAAGAAAAGAAAAACTTTTCGAATTCGATTGATGATTGATCATTTTGAAAGAAAAATCTCTTCGCGATCTCGATCATATTCGTGATAAGTAAATAGAAATTTTCGTTGGAATATAAAACGCAAGTTCAAAGTTGTCGATAAAAGTTGAATAAATATATTTAAGTAAATTCAATCGTTCGTTAATATAAGAATTGAAAGGCTAGAAAATCTTGAACGGAAAAAACATTTTTTATCATAAATACGTTGATTATGATCTATTTATCGCGAAATATCGTCGTTCGAAACTTCGATCAAGCGCATATTTTATCAAATTGAAAAAAATCTAAGTAACTTGTATGTACTCGTACTTACAGACCACTAACGTGAACAATATCCATACGAAATACTTCGTGGCTTCTAATTTTTAACGTGATTGTTTTCGAAATCAATCGACTCGACTTTTTCAATCGATCGAATCGATTTACTCGCTTTAATCGTTGGCTTCGAATTTATATTGAGTCAAATCGTAATCTAGAGGTTAAAGATCGCATAATTTTTGTGTAACACGAAATCAGAATTAACGATAAATAGCAATTAGAAAAGTAATTTTGGAATCGTTGGAATATTTATTAATATTCGTTTCGATTCGCTCGAAGGAAATACGTTTACGGAATTTTATTATTATTAAGTAAAATTCGGTTTTAAGTAATTTGGGAAAAATGTAGAAAGGAAAGATGAAGGAAAATTGATCCAATTTTTCTTCTTCTCGATGCAAATTATTTTTCTATCGTTTAATCAGGAGAGAATATTATTATTAAAAGGGAGAAAGGAGAAGTTTCGTTTATTCATGCTTCGTTTCTTTTTTAAATTCAAATTTTATTCAAATTGATAATTTACATACGTAGCCTCTGTGCTTTGAATTCTATTCTATCTTCAATTCGTGCTTTTTATCTCGCTTAAGAATTTTGAAAAACAAATCAGAAAGTTTAATCCACTCTCGCATTTGTCCGTACCTTTGTTCGCTGGAAAAAATATCAATATAAATATTTTGACAGGCAAACAGATAGACATGTTAAAGAGAAAATAGCCCGATAGAAATAATTTAGTTGAAAAAGTGGATACATCAACGAGAAGTAAAACATTAAATCATATCTCGCGTATTGCTGTTTCTTGATTTTTCGAAAACATATGAAATATGTAAGAGATGTAATACTGTACGTACAATTATAAATTATTATTTATAAATAATCGCGATAAATTTCTCTAATAGCGTAAATTATTTATTTTTCCTTTCCACTTTTAATATCACTTTAGTTTTGATAATTAAACGAACACGATCATATTTCTCATAAGATAATTTTCAAACAGAAATTCTCTTCGATTTTTTTCGAATTATTAAAAATATTTTATTTATTTCTCTTTCAAAACATTCCATCGTAATTGGAAAATAGCTGTTTTCCTCGACACGAGAGACATAAGAAAAATTTCCGTTTGTTCGAAAACTCACCTTCATCGATGCATTCGCTTAATTTTTTCTCGTCTAAGGATATATTATTGTTATTCGCCATTTCTACCAGCTTGTCCAATTGAATTTCGTCATTTTGTATCTGAAAAAAAAAATGACTTTTCGCACGAATCTGAAAGTGAAAAATCACGACAAGGGAAAAGAGGATAAACGATACGCTTACGATACGAGATTTCTCCAATGTGCAGGTAATGAAACAACTGTAATTCGTCAAATATTTCTTTATATTTTCTTCCGATATATCTTCGTCGTGCAAAAGTTCCTGCATCTTCATAAAGTCCTCTGTAGTGATTGGTAAAAGGATAAAAAAAAAAATAACCAATTAGAAATAACATATTTTTATACATACGAGTTACAACTTAGTTTTAATAAATTTTCTCGATATATTATATTATAAAGAAATAATATTAATTATATTACTAATGCTCAAACCCATGTGTATTACGCAGTAACGTATATCTTTCATTGAAATGGGGATAATTTTCAAAATCTCGTTTATCCCATTTGCTCGAACGATTACCTGAAATAGATACAACAATTACTCGAATCGAATGGTTATTATTCTTTAATTCAATTTCGAAGAGACGGAATATTTTTCTCCTCTCTCACTCTTTTCGATCGATTTACCGGCGATTCGATTATTTATATCCCAATAAATAATACGATCGGTAACGCGTAAAATTGTTCAAAATTGATCTATTTCCAAATTTTTTTTTCGAATTTTACGAATTTTCCGAGGCGCTATATTCGAATAAAATAAACGCAACACGCAATAAATGATTTTTACGTTTAAGAGACTTTACGAGAAATGCTTACGGCAACGGAAAGAATGTAAACAAAAACCAGGAGAAATTTCTTCATCTCTCCAATCGATTATCCAATTGAATTATCCAATTATAAGACACTGTCTGTTATTAAAAACTTCACTATTGAAGAAATGGCGGAGAGACTGGAACCTGCTTCTTTGAGAGAATATGAAAACTGCATCAAGCTATTGCGAGACGTTGATGCTTATATTTGTCGTTGACCATGAAAAAATTTTATTTGATAAACAGGTATCAGGTTTTAAACCAAAATTATTTTACTCGCACACGTATGGAAACTAAATTAGCAAGTCAGCAAAAATGGTAAAGTGGTGGCATGTCGGGGAACGCAAGAACGTGAACGTTAATGATTTTAAACAATTGCGCAATTTTATTTAAATTATTTTATCAGGATGCAGATAAGAAAAGGATAATTTTCTTTATATTGTTTTACTATCTGATTTTATTATCTTCTAAAGAAAAAAGAAAAAAATAGACGACAATTGACACACGTAGAGGAGGATAATTTTGATAATTACGTTTTACGACGAAATATCCTGTAATTTTTAAAACAAAAATCTCGAAAAAAAAAATAAGACGACAGAATTTCGACTTCTGTTTAAATTCGATCCGAGAAAAGCGAAACTTACGAATCCATAGTATTATTGTGCGAACAATAACAATATCATCGTAATCATTCACGATATTCTAATTTGAGACGTTACGTTAATTATTAATAATTAAAATCGTTGAATATTATCCTTTGTTATTTTTTTTTTTTTTTTTTTTTTACATAAGAGAGACGACGCATGGATCTCGACAAATTATAAGAAAAAGCCAAGATTCTTTTTTCTCTCTTTTTTCGAAATAAAATAATCCATCGAATGAAATAGTATAAAATAATATTCTCGAAAAAGTAGATGTTGGGTTATTTTTTTTCTCTTCTCGCAAAAAAAAAAAATATTCATCAAAATTATCTACGATCGTTACGATGAACGAACGCGAGATCCCTGATATTTCAGCCGTTTAAAACTTTATCATTTCAGCACGCGCCGTAGATAAATATGGAAGAAAGTTTGGAAACTTTTCTCCTGCCAAGGTGTACAATTTCATTAATAGGAATGAGATTAAACGTATACGATGCGGGGCATCGCGCGGTCGAGGCTTATGAATAAACAATGCGCCGTTAACGCGTTATGAATAATTAACCTGCACTCGAGACGCGGACATCGCGCTCCCTGCATTTCAATCCCGTTGTCCATGCTTCACGACCACCTAGTAGATACACGTATATACGCCAATTTATGATTCACCCTTGAAATCGATCCTACATGGAAGCCAACGCGTTTTCTTCCTTTTATATAGATACGTTGCAAACAAAAAAAAAAAAAAAAAAAAAGAAAACAAACTTGCCATTTACGAGAAGGAAGCAAAAAGATTCTATCTTAATTCTTGAATCTTGAAAATTGCTCGATGTGCAGAGAAAATCGCAGAGGTAATCGTAATAGCCTGTAAATCGACATGCAATACTTCAACGATTATTCAACGATTTATTTACGATTTCGGACCAAAGGGATTCGAAAGGATCGACTCGCGAAACTTTTTTCTTCTCGCACTTCCCTTCTCCTCGCGATCGCCGATAGATCGGCTGTAAATCGAGAGATGTCGCCAACTGTCCGTTAAAGAAAGGAATCGTTCGATATCGGTGTCGCGACTCGAAACTTGGTAGATATATATCGATCGGCTCGATGAATATTAATGAAGGCAGGGGAAGGGGGGAAAAAAGACGAGCCGTGTATCGTTTACATCGTTTTATTAAACGTGTACAATACGTGATAAACTCGAATCTTCGGTACGTGACTTTTTCGTTTTTCTTTTTTTTCTTTCTTTTTTTTACGAGAACAGCTTTTCGATGTAGCAGTCGGTATACTTGTTACCGATATTGCATTCGTCCGTCTCCCCTTTGGCTGCGTAACAAAATATATATTAATTAATCAACGTTATCGGGAACACTTTTTATCATTGTATTACAAAATATTAATTACAATTTTTCAAATTGACGATTTTTCACGCGAAATTTCGAGCAAAATCGAAAATATATAATTTAAGAATGTAGAAAAAAAATAATCGGTACTTGCCATTCTCGATGCACTCATTTGCGATCCCTCTTACTAATTGGATATCATCCGCGTTGCCTGCGTGAACCACGTCTATCATCTTGTACACCGGCTCTACGTTAAGTTCCGTGCCTTTCAACTAGAGTGCGGATCAATGTTAGTCAGAAAAATCGTTAAACCGAGTCAATCGAATAACTTTAACTTAACGATATTACTCTCACCATGCCTATTCGTTTCATCACGCAGGCTTTCAAGCAACCAAGTTGCGACATATCGGCTCCATTTTTCGCCGCTTGTATATTCGTTGCGATATCTGAAACGTAACAATTCAATCGGCAAACGAACCATTATAAACTTCATCGATCGAATCTAGCTAGCTATTTGCGAAATATCTGTGTTCGATCGTAACTTTTTTCTACGGAAAAAAAAAAAAAGAAGAAAGAAAGAATCGATCACCTTCCGAAATGTGAAGTTCGTCGGCGCATGGCATTATATCGGGCATCAAATACTCCATGTACTTTGCGACTATGGTGTCTTGATCGTATCCACGTACAACGCTCTGCAAGCACAGATTCTCGATTGAACGATTCTTCTACTCGAATCTTTTCGATCGATTCAGATAAATCGATTACGCTCGATTCTGCTTTTATCACGAAATATTCGAGGAAATTCGAAATTTTTTTGCGATGCTTACCGCAACGGCCAGCAGACAAGTAACGGTGACGAGGGTGTTCATCTTTATCGCGATTTAATTCTCGAAACGAGATCGATCGGTTTTCATACGATACTGTTGCGCGATACCAGCCAAGTATGGATATTTATATCCGAAGGAGCAGGATACGCTGGGACGATAGGGAGCGTTAAGGTCTAACATTTTAGCAGCAGGAAACGAGATAATTAGATTTGTCCATGCCGATTTACGTAAGATCGGTTGGAATAGCGGGCGAAACGCGTATATAATTATTGCCGGTACGCGACGAATTTGTCACGAGATAATGATTGTTTGTCGTGCGTTTCGGTGATCGTGGAAGAAGGAGTCGTTCAAATTACGGGATCAAACGAGTCATCCTGCAATGATTCCACGCTATTCATGCTATAATCTCGTGCGAGGGACTAAAAATTAAAAGTGACAATGTAAAATCGGGCGTTGCCGATTTATTTGTTTGTTCCTTGTCTCGTTGCAGATAGACGCGTTCCTGGAATCTTTGATTCCAAGCCGAGTAACCAACAATTAACGAGACTTCCTCGCGATCAACTTTCCTCGTTTGATCGCGGCGTGTAAAGAGAGATGAAGATATTCGGGTTTCTTCTTTAAGTAATATTTCCATCTTTTTGCCGACGATTTATTTGGCTTAAGGTTCGAGGTTGTACGTGCATCGATTTTAATAAAATCGGGACACAATTCTGTAGAATTTTTTTTTGTACATTTTGATTTTTTTTTTTTTTTGATTTTTTATTAAAATAATCGTCTTGCTTATTAATTCTCTTGTTTTACATACATGTATTGCGATTTATTTTATTTTGTTTGTTAAATTTATTTATTAACGAATGGAGAAAACTTTAGGTTTATTAAAATTTTAAATGAGATTTTTTTACGATGTTTTTGAGATCGTTGTTTATTGCTAGAAAATAATATAAAAGTAATTTATTTGCTATTCGTAATTGGTATTAAAAAATGAATAAAATTAAAGGAAAAGTATTTCTCGAAGAGCAAGTTCTATGTAAGTAAATTACGTATCTTTAATGTCACGTTTAATCGCAGCAAGGCGAATATCAAAAATAAAAAAAAAAAAAATAACAGTTTTCGGATTTTCGGATGATTTTTCGGACTATAAATTTATTTGTTCGAATTAAAATATTAATTAAATTGAAAAATCAAAATGATGTTTCGTTTTCGTTCGAATTCGATATCTTGTTCGACATCTAATAAACGGAGGAAATTCAATTACATGTATCATATCTATTAATCGATTTAATATTTTTCATAAATTGTCAACGCAAATTGTGTAAAAGATTTTTTATGTATGATTCTTGACGAATAGTGTAATCAATTTAAGCATAATTGTTCGGATAAAAATACGTAAAATTTGATTTTGTGAAATTTTTTATTAACTAGATTTTGAAGATTGTAAGGAAAAAGTAATAAGGAAGAGATTTGTAATGTAATTTTTCACATTGAAAAGTTTGAAAAAAATTAAGACACATTGAGGAATAATAAATTGAATTCAAATCAGATATTAAAAAATATTTGTAATAATATAAAGTTCTTCAAAATTCTTCAATATTGTTACGAATTACAGACAAATATAAAGTAGATGATGATTATAAAAGATTAGAGAGGTGGGAAATATTAAAGGAAGGAAAAACAATAATACATTTGTATAATAATATAATAATTTAATGAAATAAAATTTATCAAATTATAACAATGTTTAGGAAAACAGTAATATTAAATATTATAAAAGTCTAGTCTAGTCTTTCGATAGGAGACAACGAATTATAATCATTTCATAGATGTGCGATAAAATTATTTGCGCATGAAAATTTAAAAAAAAAAAAAGAGTTTCGAAAAATTATTGGCCGATTATAGAATAAAGTATGGTCGATGATATTTCTTAGACTCTTCTACATTGAGGTTTGGTCCTGGTATTTCTGCACACTGCCTTTTTACGGTTACGAACGTGATGGCGAAGATAAGCACGATGTGCAGATGTGTAGAAATTTCTCTTGCTTCTTCGATGATATCGCGAATTCCCTACTGAAAGATCGTTCATGGGACTAAATAGAACTGCAACAAATATATTACGGATACTTGAAATTATATTGATGTTCGATCGTCGATTAGACGAATATAAGTTACTTCGAAATTTTGAGCAAAGATGTTTCGAAATAATTTCGAAACCAAATAACTAAAAATGAATATTACGAAATTACTGCACCCCAAGTATTATTTTCGGCGTAATCGTATTTAAAAATCACCTCCTTGTCATTTTCGTAGATGCACTTGCCAAATTGCCATGCAACCTCGCATCCATCCGTAGCTGTCACTAAAAATCGATAAAAATCATCAATCGATGTAATCGCGATAGACAAGAATAATTAATTTTTATTCTATCGATTGGCACGACGAATTACGAATACGTAAATATACTTGCCTTCCTTCTTGCACGTTTCAAGTACGCTCTCCACGCGTGGAATGTATTCATCTAGTAACATCATACGAGCATTCTTCAGGAAAAAGTCCCACAGAATAACGTCGTTCTTCATCTAGGAACAAACGTTCTCGTTAATTCTTCCGAGAGTGAGAGAAGAAAAGATATTTGAAAATATTCGTTTACCGCTTTAGTTGATATCATGATGCATTTCATGTAGCACATTAGCCTCTCGTCCTTTGGGAATTCGCCTCTGAATTGGCCGTCTAAAAGTTCTATGCGAAAAAAAAGTAAATGAAATTTTCGAGGAAGAAAAATTCGTCGGATCGTTGAACAAAGTGAACAATTTTATCGCGAAAGCGTAGCCCATCGATTTCGCACGAATCATAAATTTGCAACATTTTTCTCTATTCAACTACTCGAAAGAAGAAATTTCATAGAAGCGAATGCGAAACACCGAATAATTACATAACGATCGAACGATTCTAATCCTTTGAAACATCGATCGAGAAAAGTACCTTTGGGAGTATCGTTCTTCTTGCTGCAACCTTTCCTCAGATTCTTGAAAGTTTTCTTCAGTTCCTCGATGGTCATCTTTTTCTGCAGAAGAAAAAAAGGAAAAAAGTCAAAAGTGCAGGATGCACGTACGCTCGAAGGCCAATTATATACAAAGAATCGATGGATCGACTTACGCTCACGGTATCCTCGATCGCTAATAGGATCAGGAGCACCAACGTAACCAGCAGGGAGACGCTGAGCTTCATTCCGTTTCTTTCTTTCTTTTAAACGTGTCTAACTTGGCGATAAAAACGCGACGAAATCGAGCAGCGATTGTTCCCCCCGATAGATAGAGCGTGGCACGATTGTGCGCACCCTGTTTTATAGTCCGTTATCGTGGCGGTAGGAGAAGGAAGAATTATTCGTATTTTGTGGGTGTTGCTCGAGTCTCGAGCCGAACATTAACTCGATTAATAATTAATGTGTTACCTCCACTTTCCGTCCACGATCTTGAGAGGTTAAAGTTGTGCCGGAAAGGGAGGAGTAACGTTACCACGTGACTCGAATTGCGTCTTCGATACGCAAATAATTATAAAGTATTAGATACACAAAATATTCGTCGACACGGAACTCGCGTTAACATCGAATCCTCGTATCTCGAGAACCTTTGCCGTATTTGGTAAGCGACTTTTCGATACGATATTCGTTTTTCTAGATCTCTATCTTTCGAGGCTTTCCTTTCTTCGTCTTTCGTCTTTTCGTTTCCTCGAAAATAGACGATCGATGACAAGTTTCTGAAAATCAGTTCTGCATCTACGAGTGTCTCGTTTTCGATATAAATATACCGAATATGAATAAATTGTAAATTGAATTAAACGGGATTCAAGTTGAATTAAACAAGGTTAAATTTCGTTAAATTTGCATTTCATCGCGAAGAGTAATATAATACGTAAAATCGAGCATGTCCATGAATAGCGGAGAAAGTTCGCGTTATGATATCGCGGATCGTTGAAAAAGGAGCACGCAGATGTCGAGATGTGGGTGAAGGAAGGCTGGTATTGCGCGATCGGATTCCACCGTCGGTTGTTACTTCGATCCGATGTCATCATCTCACGAAATTTTTCTCGTTTACACGTGCACGTATTTTTAGTAGGCGGGACAACGCGTTTCTGCATATCGTTTTATCTCCTCGATTATAACCACTCTCAATGTTACCTGTGAGATGATTTCTCTCTCCCCCCGTAAACATCGATCATAAAAGATACGAAAGAATATAACGTGAGAACACTCGATTCGATCCGATTCGAACGATAAAGGGAAACGATTCGATGTCTGGATCTTTATAGACGTCGCGCGACCAATCGACGATCGCGTGCGCGTAAAACTAGCTTTTTTTAGCGTGTGCGAAGAATAGAGGGCAGAAGAATGCGGAAAGCGAATAAAAGGGAAGGAGGCGAAGTGGAAACAGTGGCAACAATGTTACGAATTGTGGAAAGGGAAGACCTGTTAGAGAATCGCGAGGCATGAGAATAACGTGACCTCTGCGACGCCACCCTAATTAAATGGCTTTAATTACCGGTAATAACTGCGTTTCGAGGTGGATGTTATGTAACGAACAGTATCGTCGATAAGAAACACTATCGCTTTGTCCAACGACTAATTCGACTCTTCTCTCTTTAAGCTTTGCTTTAAACAAAAAAAAAGAAAGAGAGAAGAAAAGATCGAATCGTATGTAGTTAAAAATATTTCAGAATTTTTTTCCTATCGGAAGAGAAGAGCGATCGACGAGATACTCTTATTCTCTGATCTGAGCTTAAATTAAGAAAAATATCGCCTCCTTCGTTCGAATAAAATCTCTACGTCGTAGACATTCGGTGACAATGCGTCACATTGTTGCAACAACATCACCACCAAAAAAACATGCGATAAACGAAGCAAACGCTTTCGAAACGCAGAATCACGAATCGATAGCCCCGTGACATCGCGTAATAAATTAATCGCGTACTCTTTCCCGATCAAACACTGCCCTTTGTAATGCTAATTACTTTTCGATTAAATTCTCCCGAGTTCCAAACTTGGCTCAATTAGTTTTCAATCGATGATGCGATTCGAAAATTTTTGAAAAAGAACATTTCGAACAAATTGTTCAAATCTTCTCTCCTAAAAATGTCACAAGAATGAAATTTGTTTTTCGTCTCTATTTATTCACAGTTGGAATATTTGACGACCGAGATAAAAACTGCTCGAACGTTGAATAATTCTTTCCCTTGAAAAATGGTTAAACTATTTTATCACGAAATAAATGATACGTTATATGGATAATTTTATTCGATACGTATTATCGTTCAATCTAGTTGGATCTAGTTTATCTTTTTATCGAACTGCAAAGATCGTACCACCGATCGTTAATCGAGACGATAGTTGACGAGAAGTTTTCGAATGGGTTGGACGGCGTGTTTGCATCAGGGGGCGAAAAAGGTCGAGCTTCGAGATATCGCTCCTCTTCCGGCACACGATGTGACTCACAAACTTGTTTCCCCTCTATCACGAGTCGAACGTTTAATCTACCGATCCTTGTTACGGCATTAGCAGACCGAAAGAATGACTCGCGTTACCGGTTCGAGTTATTATCGTTTCGATCCTCGAAGAAATTTTTGCTCTTAATAAGGAAATTTCTCTTCTTCGATTGACGATTTTAGCGAAAATAATTGGTAAATAGGAAAATAATTCAAGCAGCGATGTTACTTGAAATTTTTCAAGGGTTCGTTGACGTAAATCGTAAAGTTCAGCAGTTTGGTAGACCACTAACCGGTGATTTAGAGCCGTTGAAACGATCTTGGAGAAATTTTCAGTATCAGCGTTTTCTCGCTAACTCGAGATTTAGGATCCTTGAAACCTTGATTTTCAAGGATCAGCGATTCCTTCGAGTCATCGATATAAAATATCCTACAACACGATCGGACCATTGATCCAACAATATCCTTTATCATTCTCTTAACTTCCTCTCAAAATTTGCCTTGAATCTAAACCTTGATTAAAAATTTTCCTTCCTGCGAATTCAAAAATTCCAAATTTACATTTGCGTGTATTTCGATAGATTTTCTTTTTTAAAAACGTCTCCGGCAATCGAAAAAAAAAGAAGAAGAAGAAGAAGAAACTAATCTGGAAATGAAAATGGCTTCGCGATATCGTTGTCTACTATTTTCTCGTGCGCTGACACACACGCGGAACAGACCTAATCGTATCCGTTTCCTGCGAGTTTCGAGCGAGCCACGTCCATTTGACGATAAACAAACAGAAATCGTTGCTCTCGAAATAATCTTTGCCGCGGAGGCGCGATTCCCCCTCTTCCTCGACCGATTTTTTTCCACCACCAATCCGTATATTTTCCTATCAAACAAACTGCACTTGGAATTTGTTTCGTACCGAAGCCCAATCACTCGAAAACTTTCACGCTTACGAATTATACGCGTGTGGCCGCGTGTGTGCCCGTTTAACAAATTATGTAACGCCTCGTTTCGTTTCGAAACGAGTCCAAACGCGTGGAAAATACGGATGGAAATGGCGGAACGTTACCGGTTACACGCGAATACGTAAATACGCCGCGTATTCGAAATCATTTTCGGCAACAAAGGGAACCATAACGTCTCTAATTTTATTTATTCGCAAAGTATTTTTGTTTTTTTTTCTCTCTTTCACGAAGTCGAAGTTACGCGAAAGAGAGAAACACGTAACTTTTAACGAGACAAAAAGATGGATTATGTCGATATTATGTCGAGTGTAAAATTTTCATTTCGAGAATTCAATCGATGGATATTAACAGAGAGCATCTGTTAACAAAGATAATTGCGTTTCTGTACCCGACACGTTGAACGAACGAAAGTTTATACGCAACGATTCTTTTCCTAATCGATCACTGGAAAAATCCGAGCACCCATTTATACCGAATTATTTTCGATGGAGGGAGTCTGATCGGTTTATCTCCAGTCCGCGGAATCACGCTTAATTCGAATAAAGGGGATAAAAGAGAACAAAGATGACTCGTAATGAAGCTCGACACCCGCCGATTAGCGAGGATCGTTTTTTAATTTAATTACTTTCGAATGCGTAATTGTATTACACGATCATCGACCGGCTTTTACATTTTCTCGATCGAGTTTTCGATTTTATTTATCCTACTAGAGAGCGCACACTAGATTACCTTTCTTTTGGAGCAATTGGGTAGTATTAAGTAGAGAGAAAAAAATTTATCGATCGATTTAAATTCTTGATCAAAATTTTTTTTATCGTCGAAGATGCTAGTCGAGTCGAAAGTTTTTCGACAAAAGTAATTTTCATCAGTGGTTCCATTACGCAATACTAATATTAGCCGCAGGTGATTCGAAGATTTTTATTTCATCGGTAGAATTTACGTAACGATAATGGGATTGCGTAATAAAACATTCGAACCGATATATAATTAGCCGTAGACAATGGTGGAATTAATGATAGTGGTGTTTCTTCGTTTTATTAATTATCCAGCAACGATTCTTCTCCGCCACGCGATTACGTGTAATTAAAAATCTCGATAATCTTGATATTCTTTTCTTTCTCAAACATATATTATAGGGGGAAAAAAACGATTTTTATCTACGATTCAAAAAAATACAATTTCATATCACGATCCTTAACTCAGTTAGTTTCTCGCTTTCGTAAACGTGAATCTCGTAAAGAGAATTTTATCGCAACTCTTCTTCCCCTCCCTCACGACTTCTCTCCTTATTCCACGCCTCGAACCTCGGCGAACCTCGTTTATTAATAAACATCCCAAGCTCGATTTGTTCCTTTTTTTTTAATGACCACCAGTGTCCGTGAGAGTGTACGAAACGTACACTCGGTATATTTTAACTGCATGATTCAGCGGCCAGCGAAACGCGAGTCTCTCTCTCTCTCTCTCTCTCTCTCTCTCTTTCCACCGCTATCTCTCTCCTGTATTTTTGATGCTCCTCCACGCAGCAGCCTGTCCGCTCGAGAATCTCGCGGCAAGGTGACGCGAGAAAACTTGCCTGCGAAATTTTGCACCGCCGCTTCCTCTTTCGGCTTACGTACATTCGAGAAGAGACCGTACATTTTTTCTCCGCTTACATCTCTCTTTCGACCGTAATTTTACGATATAATAATCGGGATAAAGCGTATCCGTGTATTCCATTCCAGTGAGACAAAGCGAAATAATTTCCCTTTGCCCTTACGTTTTTATCGTTATCGTGATATCATCGTCGTCATAATTTGCATCATTCCATACGTATTCCACGTACATTCTCATTTACGAGAGAGAGAGAGAGTTTAACGAAATAAATTAAAATTAACGAATTATTAGTATTCGAGTAGGATATAGACACACGAGGCTCGTGAAAGTAGAGAGATTTTAAGGGCAGCGTTGTCAGCGCCGCTGTCTGCACTGCAGGCAAATACTTTGGTGGTGGTGGTGGTGGTGATGATGAAGAGGAGGTTGATGGCGATGATGATGTGCATGTGAATACCGCGAGCCCAGTGGTGCCGGGCTCTTTCTCCGTGGTCGTCGTCGTCTTC